GGAAATAATCCTGTGAATTAATATCTACCCTTTCTAAAAGATAACCAAGTAGAAAAAGAAATTAGAACTTCCCTGTTACCTTTCTTACCATGTGAAAAACGCAAGTTGTTCATTTTAAAAACAAATATAAGCTTTTAATAAATATAAGCTTTTGAACACAAATATATTTTTATAATGTGGATATTACGTGGATCACCAGGTTTGGAATAAATTGAGAGTCAAAGTCAACAAGACAGTAATATAAATCCAAATTCGTATTTCAAAAGGCACTTAGTGCTCACTTCAGTAGCACATATACTAAAATTGGAATGATACAAAGATTAGTATGACCCTTACTCAAGGATGGCACACAAATTCGTAAAGCATTCCTTTTATTTTTATTTTTATTTTTTTTTTTTTTTTTGAGACGGAGTTTCACTCATGTTACCCAGGCTGGAGTGCAATGGCGCGATCTCGGCTCATCGCAACCTCCGCCTCCTGGGTTCAGGCAATTCTCCTGCCTCAGCCTCCTGAGTAGCTGGGATTACAGGCACACACCAGCATGCCCAGCTAATTTTTTGTATTTTTAGTAGAGATGGGGTTTCACCATGTTGACCAGGATGGTCTCAATAAGACACTTCTTCACAAAGAAAACACAGTAGGAATGTTAAAAATGTTTAAAATGATGAATCAGAAGTAATCTATGAAGTGAACCCTTGGCATTATGTAAACAAAATGGGTTCCTTTAAAATTTGTTTAGGTGCTTTGTCTGCAAAGGATTACTTTTTAATTATGAGAAATCTGAATTTCTCAGACATTCCCACTAGATGACGCTAAATTTGAAGACCATCATTTAAGGTAGTGTCTGCCAAATCTCTCCATTTTAAGTGCATTTTTTTCTTTTGTAATTAATACATAACACAAGAGGCCATATGAATATCCTATTCCTCAAAAAACTTTTCACTCATTGGTTTTTTTTACAACTACAGTCTTTTAATTATAAAGTAATAGTATGTTCACGCTAAAGCTTCAAATTTAAAGAGCTATGAAAGTCTCTTCCTTATCCTACTCCAGATTCCGACTCATACTTCTGTAACATACTTTATGTACACTCTGCTAACTGCTCCTTGTACATCCTCCTGGAAGTTTTCAATGTATAAACAAACATATATGCATTTATTGTCTTCTTTCTATCACAAATGGGATCACAGTACATGCTTTGTCTTATAACTTTATTTTTTTTCACTTAATATACCCTGCACGTCTTTCCTATCAGTAGGTACACATTCATAACATTCTTTTTAATAACTAAAGAGTATTCTACTTACCATTATTTCATTAGTCTCTTTAACTATACATCACTCTTTTCATTCTGTTTTATACAGTTTCAAACAATGTTATGATAAACATCCTTGTACATACAACTTGTCATGTTTTATGTGAATACACTAGAGTAAAAGTGCTAGAAACATAACTGCTAGGTCCAAATGCATGTGTAAGTTCTTTTCTTTTGATAAATATTGCCAAACTTTCTTTTTAAATTGCATTAATTTCTGCTGCCATCAATAGCAATGCTATTTCCTCCTCTCTTCTCCCTCATCAACACTGGACATTAGCAAATTCTCTAATTTTTGTCAATCTGAGAGGTAAAAGAAAAATAACAGCTCATAGTTTTAAAATTTTTATTTATGTAAATAAGTCAAGTATCTTTTCATGAAATTATTTAATATTTGAAATATTTTCTCTATGAATTGCTTGTTTATAATCTCTATCCTTTTTCTATTAAATACTCCTAAGAACAATATTTTAAACATTGTATTTGAAAAAATATAAAACAAGTTTCATTATAACATTCATAAAACATTATGTTAGTTGGTAATTGGTACCTAAAACACTCTCCCCTCACAGAAAAATCTGTAGTTTCTGGGAGTGTATATTTACTTTCATTACCTTTAATACCCCTTTACCCAAGTGACCTATAGATTGAAAATACTTTAACATATATGCTAGAGAATTTCCTATAGCAAATCTCCTTAATTTATTTTTTAAGAAATAAAATTTCTATAGGCAAGAAGTAGGAAACAATTTAAAATAATGAAATCAGTATATTGACCTTTAACTAACATCTTAGAACCATTAGTTTCATCTAGGATTTCTCATTTAGTATGAAATCAAGACATTTCCAAGAACAGTGAAACCAAAAATCTAAATTAAATCTGTCTAGAGAGAACACAGTACATCTGTCTTTTACTATTATATGAGATACTATCTTTCTACTTTAAAAATCAATCTTCTATAAGTGTGGCATTATTTCTGAAGCCTCTGTTCTGTTCCATTGTACAATATATCTGTTTTGGTAATAAAACAGCACCATGCTGTTTTATTTACTGTAGCCTTGTAGTATAATTTGAAGTCATAGCATGATGCTTCCAGCTTTGTTCTTTTTGCTTAGGATTGCCTTGGTGATTTGGGCTCTTTTTTGGCTCCACATGAAATTTAAAGTAGTTTTTTCTAATTCTTTGATGAAAGTCAGTGGTAGCTTGATGAGGATAGCACTGAATATATAAATTACTTAGGGCAGTATGGCCATTTTCCTGATATTGACTCTTCCTAACCATGAGCATGGAATGTTTTTCCATTTGTTTGTGTTCTCTCTTACTTCCCTGAACAGTGGTTAGTTCTTGTTGAAGAGGTCCTTCACATCCTTTGTAAGTTGTATTCCTAGGTATTTTATTCTCAATTTTGAAGGGGAGTCCACTCATGATTTAGCTCTCTGTTTGTCTATTATTGGTGTATAGGAATGCTTGTGATTTTTACACAATGAATTTGTATCCTGAGACTTTGCTGAAGCTGCTTATCAGCTTCAGGAGATATTGGTCTGAGACAATGGGGTCTTCTGCAAACAGACAATTTGACTTCCTCTCTTCCTATTTGAATACCCTTTATTTCTTTCTCTTGCCTGATTACCCTAGCCAGAACTTCTAATACTATGTTGAATAGGAATGGTAAGAGAGGGCATCCTTGTCTTGTGCTGGTTTTCAAAGGGAATGCTCCAGCTTTTGGCCATACAATATGATACTGGCTGTGGGTTTGTCATAAATAGTTCTTATTATTTTGAGATATGTTCCATCAACTCTCAATAAACTAGGTAGTTTATTGAGAGTTTTTAGCCAAGAAGGTGTGTTGACTTTTATCAAAGGCCTTTTCTGCAAGTATTGAGATAATCATGTGGTTTGTGTCATTGGTGCTGGTTATGTGATGAATTACATTGACTGATTTGCATATGTTGAACCAGCCTTGCATCCCAGGTATGAAGCCAACTTGATTGTGATGGATGAGCTTTTTGATGTGCTGCTGGATTCAGTTTGCCAGTATTTTATTAAGAATTTTCGCATATGAATTTTTATCAGGGATATTGGCCTGAAATTTTCTTTTTTTGTTGTGTCTCAAGCCAGGTTTTGATATTAGGAAGATGCTGGGCTCATAAAATGAGTTAGGGAGGAGTCCCTCTTTTTCCATTGTTTGGAACAGTTTCATAAGGAATAGTACCAGCTCCTCTTTGTATCACTGGTGGAATTCAGCTGTGAATCCATCTGATCCTAGGCTTTTTTTTTGGTTGGTAGGCTATTAATTACTGTCATCTACAACCCTCTGATCTTTGATAAACCTGACAAAAACAAGCAACAGGGAAAGGATTCCCTATTTAATCAATGGTATTGGGAAAACTGGCCAGATCCATACGCAGAAAACTAAAATTGGCCCTCTTCCTTATACCTTACACAAAAAATTAACTCAAGATAGATTAAAGACTTAAATGTAAGACCTAAAACCATAAAAACCCTAGAAGAAAATCTAGGCAATACAATTCAGGACATAGGCATGGGCAAAGACTTCATGACTAAAACGCCAAAAGCAATGGCAACAAAAGCCAAAATTGAAAAATGATATCTAATTAAATTAAAGAGCTTCTGCACAGCAAAAGTAACTATCATCAGAGTCAACAGACAATCTACAGAATGGGAGAAAACTTTTGCAATCTATCCATTTGACAAAGGGCTAATATCCAGAATCTACAAAGAACTTAAACAAATTTACAAAAAAAAAAAACAACAACAGCCAAACAACATCATCAAAAAGGGGGCAAAGGATATGAACAGACACTTCTCAAAAGAAGACATTTATGTGGCCAACAAACATGAAAAAAAGCTCATCATCATTGGTCACTAGGGAAATGCAAATCGAAACTGTAATGAGATAACTCTCATGCCAGTTAGAATGGCAATCATTAAAAAGTCAGGAAACAACAGATGCTATAGAGGATGTGGAGAAATAGGAATGCTTTTACACTGTTGGTGGGAGCATAAATTAGTTCAACCACTGAGGAAGACAGTGTGGCAATTCCTCAAGAATCTAGAACCAGAAATATCATTTGACCTAGCAATCACATTACTGGGTATATCCAAAGGATTATAAATCATTCTATTATAAAGACACATGCACACATATGTTTATTGCGGCACTATTCACAATAGCAAAGACTTCGAACCAACCCAAATTCCCATCAATGACAGACTGGATAAAGAAAATGTGGCACATATACACCATAGAATACTATGCCGCCATAAAAAGGATGAGTTCATGTCCTTTGCAGGGACACAGATGAAGCTGGAAACCATCATTCTCAGCAAACTAACACGGAAACAGAAAACCAAACACTGCATCTTCTTACTCATAAGTGGGAGTGGAACAATGAGAACACATGGACACAGGGAGGGGAACATCACACACCAGGGTCTGTCAGGGGTGGGGGGCTAGGGGAGGGATAACATTAGGAGAAATACCTAATGTAGATGATGGGTTGATAGGTGCACCAAATCACCATGGCACATGTATACCTATATAACAAATCTGCATGTTCTGCACATGTATCTCAGAACTTAAAGTATAATTTAAAAAAAAAAAAAACAATCTTACATAGACCTGGAGTACACAGTCACGGCCTAGAGTGTAACAGAACTTGCCTGATCAATGTAAAAAGCCGTGCCTTCACGGATCTCTCGTCGCTGTTTGAGATCAGTTTCAGTGGTGTCCCTTGACAGGGCAATGTATTCGACCTCCCGTTTAGTCAGCTCCTATAGAGCAGAGAATAAAATTATTCCAGAAATAAAATCAAATTCCCAGCATATGATTTGGAACAGGTTATCTGACAATGTCACTACGCTCAAGAAGAGCATTTTAAAACATAATTCTGGATTGAAACTTGTTCAGTCTCAGCTTTGAGAAAAATGAAATAAATTGAACGTTAATCAAATATCTACATATCTTCTCAGAGCTCTTCTTCTGTGGCACTCAATCCTACTATTTAAGTAATAATAATCAAAATTCAATTTTACAGACCTTAATTTTTCCAATAGAATTATTTCCAAATATAATGACTAATAATTTGACAGTATTACTACTTTGTTTTCCCACAAACTATAGCCATTTCTGTAAGTAATGCTCATATTTTTTAAAAAGGTGATTTAGGTTAATCTTTTCCATTGATCAATGTTTGCCAAGTGTATACAGTATGTTAGGTACTTTACCAAATGTGAAAACAAGGTAAAAATACCAAAATCAGCCAGGTGCAGTAGCTCACACCTGTAATCCCAGCACTTTGGGAGGCCAAGGTGGGCAGATCACCTGAGGTCGGGAGTTCAAGACCAGCCTGGCCAACATGGTAAAACCCCATCTCTACTAAAACTACAAAAATTAGCTGGCCATCGTGGCACGTACCTGTAAGTCCCAGCTACTTGGGAGGCTGAGGCAGGAGAACTGCTTGAACCCAGGAGGTGGAGGCTGCAGTGAGCAGAGATCATGCCATTGCACTCCAGCCTGGGCAACAAAGCAAGACTCCATCTCAGAAAAAATTTTTTTTTAAATACCAATAATTAGGTGAACAGAAGATAAACACACTTGCATAGTTATAGGAGAAGTAAAAGGAGGATTTAAAAAAGGAGAGGAAGGAATTGAAGAAAGAGGAGGAGGAAAAGGAAGAAGGAGAAAGAGCAGGAGGAGGAGAAAAAATTAATCAAAAAAATCATGAGATTTGAAGGGGAAACTACGCAGAATTCATCTGTTTCAAGATAATTTATCTATCCTTAAGTCTTTTGCCGTGTAATCATGTACAAAAAGTTTTGAACATTATCTTTGGCTTTACAATGTTAAAGTAAAAACAATGACATTCTCCAATCAAATAAGGCACACAGTAAGTTTTTATTAAACATGGGGAACAAACTGATTTACTGAAGCATAAAGGAAAAAGGGAATGAACATGCCATTAATGGCAAAAAGGGATACTGCCATACAAGGGAATCTTTTTCTCTATCCTACCTCTATATGTTATTGATAAAACATATTATTGTTGTAATCCAGATTTTCTTTACTGTGCTTGTTGCCATGTTGCCATAATTGTACATATGTATGGAAAGGAGGAAAAAAATTATTTTTTAATACAGATTCTCACTCTGTCACCCAGGCTGGAGTGCAGTGGTACGATCTCAGCTCACTGCAACCTCTGCTTCCCCGGCTCAAGCAATTCTGGTGCCTTAGCCTTCAGAGTGGCTCGGACTACAGGCATGTGCCACCACGCCTGGCTAATTTTTGTATTTTTTAGTACAGATGGGATTTCACCATGTTGGCCAGATGGATCTCGAACTCCTGACCTCAAGTGATCTGCCCACCTAGGCCTCCCAAAGTTCTGGGATCACAGACATGAGCCTCCACGCCAGGCCTAAAAGGAGGAAAAAAATTTTAAATACAGAAAACACAGAGTAGTGGTGAAGATGTGGTGATACCAAAGGATGTTTCCCTAAAAACAAATGAACTGGCTGAGACAGCACAATTTTGGAGTAAAGTAGCAATTTCTGTTGTTGGTAGGTATCTACTTCTGGCTTCTGGAACACATCACTAGTATCTTCTTGCCTGCTTCACTGACTGGCTGGATATGATCTCCCGCACTTAAAAACCCTGTCATTCACAACAGGCTTCCATTGGTTGACAAACAGGTGTATGTCTCTTATTGTTAAATTGCACAGAGTTACACCCTGAACTGCTACATGATCAGTATCCTCAGCTTCCTTGGCTCTTCATCGGCCATGACAAGCACTAGCTGATTCATGAAGAGGCATGAGTACATTCACAAACAGCATGAGGAGCAGCAGATGGAAGAGGCAGCCGTGGCCTAATTTTTTTTTTTAAACTACAAAAGTCCTTTTATATGAGTTAAGTATAAAGTAAACACAATTAAATTTTTCCTATTTAATTTCTCATGGTTTACCATACTTTCTCCAAATGTTCTGCCTTTAAAGATTTCATCCACTCTGGCTATCACTATGCATGGGCTTTTATTCTTAGTAGCAATAGTACTCACTGCAGAGTGTGCAAGGTGGGTTAGGCTAGTATTAAGTTTTCTTATGTGTATACACAACCTATGGTTGCCTCAGCTTCATTCCACAATTTAAAGTTGAATGTGTTGTTCATTTCTTTTTACAAGATACAGGTTTCACACTTATAAACCTACGTTGCATTTTTGAACCAACAAGGCTTCTTATAATCTCTTCGCCTTTCTCATTTACATTCTCAACAAGCTTCAAAGCCTTGCCAGCAACAAAATCTCAGTGAGATACTGTGGTCTCTGAAATAAGAAAGGTACCAAGTACACATCTTAAAATTAAAACGGCTTGGCCAGAGGCGGTGGCTCACACCTGTAATCTTACCACTTTGGGAGGCTGAGGCATGTGGATTACCAGAGGTCAGGAGTTCAAGACCAGCCTGGCCAATATGGTGAAACACTGTCTCTACTAAAAATACAAAAATTACCCAGGCGCAGTGGCACGTGCCTACCATCCCAGCTACTCAGGAGGCTGAGGCAGGAGAGTTGCTTGAACCCAGGAGGAGGAAGTTGCAGTGAACCAACATCAAGCCACTGCACTCCAGCCTGGGTGACAGAGTGAGACTCCATCTTAAAATAAAGGGGTGGGGGAGCTCTAGATCTGTAATTCGCAATAGCTCAGTAGCTGACTCAGCATCTTAGATAAGACCCCTTTACCTTATATTAATAAAGTAAGGATGGCTCTACAGTGGCACATTTTACCTCACAAACTAATTCTAGGGATAAATAAAAGATATGAAAGCAATGAGCTAGTGTGAGTTAGGCTCTGATTTATTCATGTATTCATTATTTCTGCCCCACACGATTTTTAAAGTATCAAAGAAAATTCACCACTGAAATAGAAGAGTGTACAAGGTAGATTTCAATAGCATAGAAATCAATCACTTCATAGCAAATAATACAAGGAAGCTTTAAATAAGGTTTTTCCTCTTCATCGTAAAAAAATATCTCCAGAACACAGCTTCATCTAATGGCATTCTTCCATGAATCATTAGGATAATGCCTACTAATACTGACAAAATAGTGAAAAAAAACTTACACATTTTCTTTTGTTTTTATTTGTTTTTTGTTTTTGTTTTTTAAGACGGAGTCTTACTCTGTCACCCAGGCTGGAGTGCAGTGGCATGGTCTCGACTTGCTGCAACTTCTGCCTCCCAACTTCAAGCAATTCTCTTGCTTCAGCCTCCCGAGTATCTGGGATTACAGGCACCCAGCACTATGCCCTGCTAATTTTTGTATTTTTAGTAGAGACAGGGTTTCACCATGTTGGCCAGGCTGGTCTCGAACTCCTGACCTCAGATGATCCACCCATCTCGGCCTCCCAAAGTGCTGGGATTACAGGCATGAGACACTGTACCTGGACAAGGCTCATAAATTTTCTTATTTGGGTTGAGATTTGAGCTTCAGTTCACTTAACAACAGTTCTCAAAGAACTGCAAACGTTTAAGAGGACAACATGTCAGAAAGGGGAAACATTATGGGATTTCAAGTCCAGCTCTATGATTTACCAGCTGGATAAAGCTTTTGTGAGTGATTCAACCTTTGTGAACTTGTTTTCTCATCTATTTAAAGAAAAAAAAAAAGGAGAGTATGTAACACAGAAAAGGTGCTCTGCAAACCTGAGGCTTCCTTTAAAGACTGCATAACTTCCAAAAGTCAAGGGAATTGTTTGGCTTTTAAAAATGTGAGCCTGAGATAAGAGAATGTTCACTGAGCAGCATAATACTAAGTTTTGTTTTGTAATTTTAGAGTTGCTGATTCTATCTGCTACTCATTGCCTGAAATTATATTTCTTTTCTACTGAAAGTAGGAGACTTTCTAGTTACAGTAAAAATTTGCTAAAGCTATGAAAGGTAAATGTACATTTGGCTCCCAAATAATTTATACCAAACAGTTTATAAACAAGTCACCCTTTGATGTCAGCATGTATCAAATAATGAGTATTCTGATATTTTTATTAATTCCTAATCTTATTTTATTTCATAGCTTACAAAGTTAAGACTCTTAGAAATTGACAAGAATTAACGGCTCACCAAGTACTGCATAGCAATAGAGCGCCGAAGAGGCCCAGGAGGTCCTATTAGAAAGATATCTTGCCCCAAAAGATCCTTCTGCATTATCCATCTTAGATGCTGAACTACAGATTGAGCCAGAGAGTCTGAAACTATAAAGAAAAAAGAGAAAATGAATGCAAATTTAAGTATTACTTATAAATATCCAAGTAATATATATTTATATATATTATGTATATAAAATATGTTTATATGTATTTATAAACATATGTATTATAAACTTAATCTTGTTTTAGCATTGACAATAATGGTTTTATTGTAAAACTATGTGAAAATTCACCAGGTGTCTATATGTTTGTCTGCCCAGATAAACATACATATATATATATACACATATATATATATATGCCGTAAAGAATTACATATTCCATACTTGAAAGCTTACCATAACATTTGAATAATCACCTATAACTGTTCCTAAAGAAATAAAAGTAATTTTCAAGGATGATTTGAGAAGCTGGTTTGATTACTTTCATCAAAATTTTATATTCCAATCTTTTTGTTCCTAAAGAGAGATACGACCAAATCATCCCAGACAGTTAATGATTATCATAGTCTTAAAAAGTCTGAGAAAAGCATACTACAATTTAAGTTGGTAATGGGCTGTAAGATCTCCCAAACATCATGGTTAGAAAATTTGATGTAGACTTTACTTCTTTAGAATTAACTATTTAAGTCTATTCTTCTATACCAAACTCTTTTGTGAATAGAAGACTACCCATGCAATGCCCTTCCAAGTTTACTATTAAATCACCCCACCAATATGCTCAACTTCTAACTAAGCATTTTTAAAATGTTTAAATTAATATAATTAGTTTGTTTTGGCTCATATGTATATCACCCAATGACCCAGTGAGTCCATTCCTGGGTATAAAAGAAAAACTCATAACCTTGTACATCAGAAGACATGTATGATACTCAGAGAATTGTTCAAATTAAAACTGGAGACAAGACAATGAATAAATACACCCAATGAAATATTATACAGCAAAAAAAAAACAGAATGAAAGACCCCCACTTCCAATGATATGCTTAACCCTTAAAGGTATAATATTGAGTGAAAAAATTAAGAATAAATCATGTATAATGTAATAGGATTTTGATAAATCTCAGTAAACTAGCAAATGAATTCTTTAGAAATACATACATATGTGATAAAACAGTACTTGAAAAAGCAAAAAAAAGCAAAGGAATGGTAAGTTGATGATAACTGGATACTTGGGGGTAAGAAGTGGCCATGTAATCAAAAAGATTCTCATGTATAGCTTCAAGGATAATGGTAATATTCTACTTCTTACATTAGATGTGGGTTACAGTGTTTGTTTTATTATGTTGCATTTTATACAGACAGACACAGATATCTATATTACGTAACATCTTTTATATGTAGTAAATATTCCATACATACTAAACTTTGTTTAATCACCCACTGAAGTCATGGATTAGTTCAAAGATCCAACTAAGAAAGCTTGCCTAGGACTAAATCTCTAGTGCTTCTCCTCTGACAGTACAATATTGTTAGGGTAGTCTCTCCTGTACTCCCCTGCCCCAAAGAAAACAAACATCTAATCACGGGAAAAGATAATTTTCAGATTTTCATTATCCTGGTAGGAAGATCAAGAACAAGGTTTTGGGCAAATTGTTTGGTTTATCATGTCACTGGACTCACACTAAAAGCATATTATAACCTCCCCAAAACAAATGCCCATATGTCTGAAAATCAAGAGACTCATTACTCAAGTAAACTGTTTGGTTTTTCTCTTGTTTTTATGAATCCTCTAAGACTTGCATGGGGGCACATCACCCCTAGCAGGTTAAAAGTTGGTTCCTGAAAGGGGGACTTGAAAAAAATGTTTAGATATTACAATAGTTTGTGGTCCTCTAAAAGGACACAGTACATAAACAAATATATAACATATCTATGGTATTCAAATTTCACGGAGTTAGGAAGGAATAATTACAGGGAGAAGATATCCACAGGCAAGTAATAAAGAAAAATAGATTGAAAAATACTGCTCTAAGACCTACACTTTTAAGCAATCTATTAGGTAGTTTCATGATGCTAGCATGCAACTGGCCTGAGTCTAGACAGTTAATCTTATTTATAATTATCACATGCCCTTTTACCTATTTTCTTTTCTACTTTAGGCTTAAATCCATTTTTGTAATATACAAAATTGTCTTTCTTGCTTCAAGACAATTGTGCCTCCTTGCTGCTTAAGGATGAAACAAAATAAGAGTTAAGACATCTTAACTTCTTTTATTTTTTTAAGGTGTGCACTTTATTAAACTGGTCTCAAGTCGGTGTACAGGTAAGCCCTGGCTGCCTCCACCCACTACCAGGGAGACCAAAAGCCTTCATACATTTCAAGTTGAGGGACAAAAAAGGGGTAGCCAGAGAGGTTAAAATCTTTCAAAATAAAACAAAATTTAAAAAGTATTAAGGTGAAATTTTTAAAAATTGTCATTACATAATTTACAACAAAAGCAATGCTATTACCTTGCTAGTCCATCCACACAGGGATCCTAGTCCATCCCCTGTGTGGATGGACTCAGGAGAGGACTGGGCCATTCTCCTTAGGGAGAAGTGGGGTGGCTTTTGGGAGGGCAAGGAACCTCCTGTATCATCTCACGATATTTGGAATGACTTTTAAAAAAAGAACAATAAACAATCAAGTCCTCGGCCATATTGTAGAACTTTGGGGGATGTTCGCTCCAGCCGACTGCTATCCCCTTCACTATTCCGGTTTTTAAATCCTGAGTCAAGCCAAAAACAAAAAACCAAAACCAAACAAACAAAGCCATGCCAATCTCATCTTGCTTTCTGCACAAGTTAGGTTTTGTCAAGAAAGGGTGTCAAAGGACTTATATCCAAAATCTACAAAGAACTAAAACAGATTTACAAGAAAAAAACCAACACATTCAAAAGTGGGCAAAGGATATGAACAGCACTTTTCAAACGAAGACGTATATGAGGCCAACAAATGTATAAAAAAATGCTCTTCATCACTGGTCATTAGAGAAATGCAAATCAAAACTACATTGATATATTATCTCATGCCAGTTAGGATGGCGATCATTAAAAAATCTGGAGACAACAGATGCTGGAGAGGATGTGGAGAAATAGGAACACTTTTACACTGTTGGTGGGAGTGTAAATTAGTTCAACCATTGTGGAAGACAGTGTGGCAATTCCTCAAGGACCTAGAAATAGAAATTCCATTTGACCCAGAAATCCCATTACTGGGTATATATCCAAAGGATTATAAATCATTCTATTATAAAGACACATGCACACCTATGTTCATTGCGGCACTTTTTACAATAGCAAAGACCTGGAACCAACCCAAATGCCCATCGATGATAGACTGGACAGGGAAAATGTGGCACATATACACCATGGAGTATTATGCAGCCATAAAAAACAATGTGTTTGTGTCCTTTGTAGGGACATGGATGAACCTGGAAACCATCATTCTCAGTAAACTGATACAAGAACAGAAAATCAAACAATGCATGTTCTCACTCATAGGCCAGTGTTAAACAAGAGAACACATGGACACAGGGAGGGGAACATCACACACTGGGGTTTGTTGGGGGGACTAAGGGAGGGACAATGTTGGGTAGGGAGTTGGGGAGGGATAACATGGGGAGAAATGCCAGATATAGGTGACGGGGATGGAGGCAGCAAACCACATTGCCATGTATGTACCTATGCAACAATCCTGCATGTTCTTTACATGTACCCCAGAACCGAAAATGTAATAAAATATATACATATATATATATACACACACACACACACACACACACACACACACACACACAAACACACACACACATATATGAAAGAAAGAAAGGGTGTAACACAACTAAAGTCACAGTCCACCTAAAAGCATTTGTGGTGGACTATGGAGGTGCTGGACTCATCATACTCCTGCTTGTTGATCCACATCTGCTGGAAGGTGGACAGCAAGGCCAGGATGGAGCCACTGATCCACACGGGGTACTTGCACTCAGGAGGAGCAATGATCTTGATCTTCATCATGCTGGGTGCCAGGGCAGTGATCTCCTTCTGCATCCTTTCCGCGATGCCAGGGTACATGGTGGTACCACCAGACAGCACTGTGTTGGTGTACAGGTCTTTGTGGATGTCCACATCACATTTCATGACGGAGTTGAAGGTAGTTTCATGGATGCCACAAGATTCCATGCCCAGGAAAGAAGGCTGAAAGAGCACCTCAGGGCAGCGGAACCACTCGTTGCTGATGGTGATAATCTGGCCATCAGGTAGCTCAAAGCTCTTCTCCAGAAAGGAGCTGGAGGCATCTGTGGCCATCTCCTGCTCGAAGTCCAGGGTGACATAGCACAGCTTCTCCTTGATGTCACGCACGATTTCCTGCTCAGCCATGGTGGTGAAACTGTAGCCGCACTCAGTGAGGATCTTCATGAGGTAGTCAGTCAGGTCCTGGACAGCCAGGTCCAGATGCAGGATGGCAAGGGGGAGGACATACCCCTCGTAGATGGGCACAGTGTGGGTGACCCCATCACTGGAGTCCATCACGATGCCAATGGTACGGCCAGAGGTGTACAAGGAAAGCAAGGCCTGGATGGCCACATACTTGGCTGGGGTGTTGAAGGTCTCAAACATGATCTGGGTCATCTTCTCACGGTTGGCCTTGGGGTTCAGGGGGGCCTCGGTAAGCAGCACGGGGTGCTCCTCAGGAGCCACATGTAGCTAGTTGTAGAAAGTGTGGTGCCAGATCTTCTCCATGTCGTCCCAGTTGGTGACAATGCCATGCACGATGGGGTACTTCAGGGTCAGGATGTCTCTCTTGCTCTGGGCCTCGTAATCCATATAGGAGTCCATCTGACCCAGGCCCATCATCACGCCCTGGTGCCTGGGGCGCCCCACGTTGGAGAGGAAGACTGCCTGGGGAGCATCATCACCCATGAAGCCAGCATTGCACATGCCGGAGCCATTGTCCACAACAAGTGCAGCGATACCATCATCCATGGCGAGCTGGCGGTGGGTGTGGACGAGCAGCGGAGCAGCAAGGGCGAGGCTCTGTACTTGCCAGGAGGACCCGATCTCAGTGGTCACCTTAACTTCTTTATTAGTAAAGCTACACAATGTTCCCTATGCTGCAAATCTATTACCTCTTCCTACTCTGATATCAAACATATAATTACAAACTTAAACACTTTGGGTTTTTTTCTTTACCTTTTCATAAGTCTCCGCTTAATTTGGCCACAGGCATTCGCTATAGTACTCTCACAGTTTTGTGTCACTTTGTATTCAACTTTGGCAATGTGCCTGACCTTCCATTACCTGGACCTGATAATTTAAAATCCAAAATTTGTGAAGTTCTATAAGGTAAAGCCAAGTTGGTTTCTTCAGCTTCCTCCCACCTTTTATTATTTACAACAATTGGTAACTATTTATAATTATGGAGTCTCAATTTAGTTCTATACTTCCAGTTCGTTTTGAATGTTTTGACCTTGGAATCATATTCATTTTCAAGATTTTTTTTAAATCTAAGGTAGTAGCTCCTAATCAAATGTGAGACCTGCCCCTCATAAATTGTACAATAAAGTGCTGATGTTTAGGAATAACTTATTGTTTCATTTTTTTAAGCAAACTTGGGCAGAATTGAAGTTATAGACATAACAATAGAGCCACTTGTATACCAGTGTATTTTCTTAAGTAGGAGAGCAAACCGTGGAGTTATTTAAAGCTAGAGCCCTGGGAATTATGCATAATCCTGTTTATGCTCATGGGAGTGTCCTCCACTTCCACATAAAGTACATGTACTGAGAACACTGCCTTAAGGCACATCTGACTATTCTCAGAAATCCCTTCCTTTATTTTTACCACTTAACAGTGGTTCCCAAATGATGACCATACTGCTACCATTCTAGGCCTGCCAGAAGGCATTTGGAAAATGTCTGTGAGTACTTTGGGCTGTTGCAAAGATTTGGAGGATAACAAATAATTTGGTACACTATTGATATTTAGTGATGGTAAATACAATGTCCAAGAGAGTCTCATCCTGTCCAGTATGTCAATGGCACTATAGTTGAGAAATACTATGTAGACATTATTTACACTCATGAGTTGCCTGTTGCCTGTACACCACTAATGAGTTAGTCACAATTAAGCCCAGAGAGTTTCTCTCTATTTCCTTTACCATCTGAAAGATAAAACTCTAAGGGAGGAAATCAATAGAGAACAAGGTCTAGCTTTAGATTAAGCCTGCAGGAGTTGTCAGGATATCTAAGGCTCTCATCATCACATTCCAGTTTTACATAAATTTCTTAATACATATAAGCTACTGCTGAATCCCATGGCTGGCCTTGTAGTCTATGGTATACCTTCACAAAGAGACTATCTTTTCCCTGCTTTTATTCTCCCCCAATAACAATACTAATAATGGTTATAATTTACTGCATTCCTACCAGGTACCAGGTAAACATACAAATGATTTTTCATATAGGATCTCAACAATTCTAGAAAGCAGCAGACCCTATTGTGTCAGGACATAGATTCAAGACAGACTATTTACTAGCTATGTAACCTTAATCAAGTTGTTTAACGTCTGTTCAGTTTCCTCATCTGTATAGATATAATTGTACTTACTTATAAAGTTGTTATGAGGATTATATTAAGCACTTAGAACAGTATCTAATAATAGTAAATGCTGTGTTTGTTAAATATTCATTATTCCCATTTAGCAACAAGAAAATCAAAACTGGAAATGTAGTGTCATTTGTCTATAGTTGGTAAGTCCATAAACCAAGATTTACACTTAAGTTGTTTAAGTCCAAAACTTGTATTTCAGTCATTAAGTTCTACAGCCCCTCCAAAAGCTTTTCAACAGGTGTCCAGCTTCTGGTGGAAGACTTGATTTCCCTACAAGTGTGGACCTCTCAGGGCTACATCAAATTTAGTGGACTTGCTGTTCCACCCATTAGTTCTGCTTCTTTTTGGTACTACCAATGATATGTTTTATTCCTTTTATTAAAATTCCAATTCATTTAGTAATGAATATTATTTTATCAGAGGATCTACTTCTCAAAGAAAATCCAACTTTCACTTATTCATGCTTTAGTATAGTGTATTTTGTCAAAAAAGCATGTCTATATTTAATTTGTCAAGAAATTGCATTAAAATACTGAAAGCAAGCAACATGTAGTGCTATGTGGTATCTGTGGTATATTTTACATTAACGCTTGAAACTAGCTGTATTTTTAGAATAGCCTCAAGAAAACATGAGTCATACTTAAAAGCATGCCAGAAATAGAAACAAGATTTAAGACTGTACATTGCAAAACGAAGTGCCAAACTGCCATGCTTACCCTAATATAAACACAGCACAGTACACAAGAGAAATCCCCAACTTCAGTGTGTTCAGGCACAAGATGCTACCTTCCAGGAGTCCACATAATAATAAACTAACGTCAGACTAATCCCCAAGAGCTTGATTCTATATTCTAAGATTCCTTTTCTATTTAAAAATATAACATGTAATTCATATTTTGCTAAATCCCTGATTCAGTTCCTAATCAATATTTGTTTTCAAAAAAATATGTACTATATTTTGCCCAGCCATATTCAAAGGCTTTAAAGTAATTTTATCATAGTTACCTAAATTATAATTTTCTCCCCTCATGAACTCAAAATTTCATATATATAAAAGTTAAAATTCCAGAAAATTAAGCATAGGTCACATTCTATTATAATAAATCCCTCAAAACTGGTGATGTTTTCTTAGTATCCCAAAAGGCAACATAATATAATGGAGAAAAAAAAAAAGCCTTTGAAGCCAGACAGATCTACTTTCATCCTGTCTTTTATCCATGTCCTTAGACATGCATTTTGACTCTTCCAGGTCTAAGTTGCCTTATTTTCAAAAGAGAGGTAATAATACTTATTGAGTATGGTTTGTGAGGATTATAGGTAAAGCACCATGCCCAGTCCCTCAGCCAATGAGAACCAGGTTCAGGAGAATTATTCAAGTCTCATCCTTACCTGCAAACTCTTATCTCTGTTGTGTACCCTGGACAGCAGGCTGTATAGCGTGGACTTGGTAGATATGAATAGGCTCCTGAGTTTACGCTCAAATTGTCTGCTGGGCCTACAGTCAAATCTGAAGAAATAAGGGAGAAAGGAACCCAGTACTTACCACATCCTCACTAGGAAAGCCTGTGTTAGAGTACTTCCCCTTGACATTTCATTAACATTTCATTTCATCGCCCCACAAAATAGCTCAGAAAGAAGCTGAACCTAGGCCCGTAACACTCCCCTGAATTTGATTTTTCTACCACGTCACAACATGAGATTTCAAAAGAAGCGTGACTAACCTCCTCACTGCAACAACGTGCTCATCTGCTAAACTTTCCCCTATTTATCATATAACATTCTATAGTTAGATACAATGAACATGAAGGATGAAAATATTTAGCACCAAAGTCCTCATTATTTACAACAAAGACAAAAACTCAACTAAAAAAAGTAATTTATTCACACAGCTGTATTTATTAAGAATCTACTATATGCTCAGCACCAAAAACACAAAGATGAATAAAATACGATTCTTTGAAGATGTCATATATAAAACATCAGCTTATATAAAGCCAATCATTTATAAAGTAGGCTGATGTTTCTATTATTGAATATAGCTGTTATCAAAACTAAATACCTACAACATTGGCCAGCACAGTGCTCGGCACAAAGAAGACACTCAGTTTTTCTTAAAATTGGAAAAATTCATCAATATGTATTAAATAATTATACATATCCATATTCAATGAGGGTCATGTTATTCACTTTTTATGTAAGGGTACAAAAATAAGGGTATACATGTATATTTGCTTGTGTTTGTATAGAAAAATGCAGGACAGATTTCCCTGAAACTAATACTGTGAGAATTAACATGAATGAGAATGGGGTGAATAAGTAATTTCTCAATATATACCATTTTATATTGTTTTGATTTCTGAATCACAAAAATATATTAATTCTGCAAAAAAGTTACTTTTTTAAAGTCATGGTTTAGAAAATATTTTACATAAGAAAATGTCCACAATATATTGCTTTATGAAAATGGTTTGTATATACAAAAGTATGGCCTGTATACTTTAAAAATTTAAGAAAATATTCTGTATATACAAAATAGTATATATACAAAATGTTTTCTTAAATGATACACATATACAGTCATTTTTTTAAAACATTAGATACATTTTATGAGGATTCAAGCCACACAAAGTATGTTCTCTGACCAAAATTAAACTAAATTAGAGATTAGTAATGGAATAATCTTTGGAAAATCTCCAAATATTTAGAGACTAAATAGCATAATTCTACATAGTACATGGGATCATTGCTAAGTGATATCAGTAAGAGGGCTGACTAGAAGTTCCCAGCACCGTTCTCCCCCACAAAAAAAGCTAAATCAAGCAAATGAAAAAACTATATTTCAACCAAAATAACTAAAGGAGCACACTGGAGAACTGCAAAGGAGTAGGAAAAATCCTGTAGAGCACAGAAACCCAGGATGGTCACATAGAGAAGGAAAGGAAGCTTTGCCTCTGCCAAGGATGATCTCAGTCCCTAGTTGGGTTCTGCTTGGACCCAAGAGGGATTTCTCTCTGCAGGAAAAAGGTAAGCAGAAGGACCCTAACAGTTCCCATTACTTCCATGGATACCTGCAGTCTTTGCTAACCAGAGATTCCTGCAGTCCTCACAGGCTCTGAGCCCAGCTGAGGGAGCTCCCCAGAATATACATGCTGTGGTACTCTCAGAGAAGAAACTGACACTAAGCTACTACTGTGTTGCAACCAGAGCCACTGCTACAGTGCATCCTATTCCAGAGATGGGTAGTCATTGCACCCCTTCATCCTGGAGGCTTTGCCATCACTGCAGCACAGCTATCTGGTAGCCCCCCAACCCTAAATTTAGCTACTACTATGCTCCAAGTTACCATGGAGCTGCTCCATGCCCTGCATCGCAGACATTGGTGCACCCTGCCCTTCAGGGACTGAGCTGAAGTGACACTCTTACCAGGGACCCACAGCATCAAACTACTCCCAGGCACCACACCAATGCAATATCCTATCCTCCTGAATGCCTCAACCCTCTGGCACACCAGAGAAGCTGTATGACACTGTGTGACATAGCTGACACTGTACCCTTCCTCTCAGGGAACCAGAACTTCCTTCAATCCATGTAGCTGCATATTCTAGGGCCAAGCTGATGCAGCATCTTACTTCTAGGAAATCAAAGCTTTGGATGAGCCATGTCCCTGCCCTACTGGTCAAATGGCCACAGGGCCCATCCTCCTTGGAACAGGACTAGAAACCCAGAATCTGAGCTGCTGAGAACCCCCAACTCCCCAGGGAGTGGAGTGAAGCTGTACTTCTCCCTGTCCACTGGGCCGTATCAGTGCCTTGCCATGTATGGGTTCTTGACAGTGCTGCACCTGGCTGCACAGAACCTGGGCTATTGCTGAATGTCACCATCCCAGTGTCAAGAGTAATTAGTATGTGACATCTCATCCCCCAGGACTCAAGTTGCCACTGTGTTGTCTTGATTCTAGGTCCCAAATTGCAGCTGTGCCCTATTCCCTGGGGCCTGAGCCTTTGGGGTTCCCCTTCTTCCCTGGAGCCATGCCAGTTTTGCACCCTGCCCTCCAGGGTCAGAGACAGAGCTATATCCCTGCCCCTTGGGTACAATCTGTTAGAAAGTGCTTCAGAGAAAGAGACCTCGGTTTTGCTGGAGAACTGCATCTACGTATGTCTTGAAGGGTGAACCAACACCTCAAGTCACAGTGTTAAGTAATTTCACAAGAACCTGGGCCTAGGAATTCAGGACCTGTGCCCCAGATCCCAGTGCTGCTGTGTCTGCCTGTGGGCTGTGTCAGACAAGACATCAAGACAGAGACCCTCATCTAAGGCCCTCTGTTGTGGGAAAGACAAGAACAGGAGGATCCCTGAAACTTTGGCCAATAAGGACCCTAATAACCTATGTTGCCACCATCACTGCCACAAAATCCTGTAGCCCAGACCACCAAGGCACCTGTAGTCATTGTTGAAATTGATCACAATTAAAGAAGCTGAAGCTTCAGAGAGACTACACCACTGCTCCCACATACCCAACTAGTATCTTCAAGCCCATGTGCGGGTGAAAGTCTTCCCCTACAAAAGCCACTTTGTAAAGTTAGAAGAGGTGCCTGCTCTACCAAATGCATAGAAATCAACATCAGAACACAAACACACACACAAGATACCCCCCAACATGAAAAAAATGAAAAAGCAAAGAAACATGACACCACCAAAGAAATACAATAATTCCCCAGTAACTAACCCCAAAGAAATGGATATTTACAAATCGCCTAAAAAGGAATTCAAAATAGCAATCTTAAGGAAATTCAGCAAGATATAAGAGAATACAGATAGACAATTCAATGAAATCAGGAAAACAATTCATAACCTGAGATATTCAACAAACAGACCGGTATCATAAAAAAGAACCAAATAGAAATCTTGGAACTGGAGAACGCAGTCAATGAAATAAAAAATACTAGACAGAACTTCAATAATAGATGAGATCAAGCAAAACCAAGAATATCTGAACTTGAAAAAGGTCTTCTGAAATTACCCAGTCAAAAGAAAAGAAACAAGAAGAGAAGGGAAAAAGGAGAAGGGAGGGAGGGAGGGAGGGAGGGAGGGAGGGAGGAAAGGAGGAAGGGAAAGAAAAAGAAAAAAGAGTGAAACAGCCCATGGGACTTATGGGACACTACTAAGTGAATACTCACTCACATTGTGGGATATTCAGATGGAAAGGAGACAAAGATAAGGACAGAAAACTTATTTAATGAAATAATTCCTGAAATTTCCCAAGTATTGGAAGATATATGGGCATCAGATTCATGAAGCTTGAAAGTCTCGAAACAGATTTAATCCAATGAAGTACACTCCAACGTATATTATAATTAGTCTGTCAGTCAAAGACAGAGAGTTTTAAAAGCAACAAAAGTCACATATAAGCACCGAGTCACATATAAGGGAATCCCCATTAGACTATTAGATATCTCCATAGAAACCATGCAGGACAGGAGAGAATGGAATAATATAGTCAAAGTGCTGAAAGAAAAAAACTGCTAGTCAAAAATACTACACTCAGAAAAACTGTCCTTCAGAAATTAAGGAGAAATAAAGTCTTTCCCAGACAAGTAAAGGCTGAGAGAATTCATCACCACTAGACCTGCACAGTCCTGAGTTTGCCACCTGTGAGTTCTACATGGCCTATGCAGACTATCACAATCTCACGGAAATCACAGAGAAGCTGGTTTCAGGGATGGTGAAGCATATTACAGGCAGTTACAAGGTCAACTACCACCCAGATGGTCCATAGGGCCAGGCCTATGATACTGACTTCACCTCACCCTTCCAGAGAATCAGCATGGTAGAGGAACTTGAGGAAGCACGGGGGGTAATGCTGCCAGAAACTAACCTCTTTGAGACTGATGAAACTCACAAAATTCTTAATAATATCTGTGTGGCTGAAGCTATTGCATACCCCCCACCTTGGACCACAGCCAGGCTCTTTGACAAGCTTGTGGGGAAGTTTCTGGAGGGGACTGGCATCAATCCTACATTAATCTGTGGTCATCCACAGATAATGAGTCCTATGGCTAAATGGCACTCCTCTAAAGAGAATCTGACAGAGCACTTGGAGCTGCTTGTCATGAAGAAAGAGACATGCAATGTCTACACTGAGCTGAATGATCCTCTGCCACAGCAGCAGCTTTTTGAAGGACAGGCCAAGGCCAAGGCCACAGGTGATGATGAGGCCATATTCATAGATGAAAACTTCTGTACTACCCTGGAATACGTACAGGCATGGGCATTGACTGAGTTACCATTTTTCTCAACAGATTCCAACAACGTCAAGGAAGCACTACTATTTCCTTCTATTTTCTGCTATTAAACCCAAAGACAAAAAGGAGAATGTAGCAACCACGATATACTATAAAGCACAACAGCTGGCACTTCTGTCTAGAAAATGACAGTTGCAAGTTATATAAGTCAAGCATCTTTGCATTTCTGTAAAAGATCAAGGTCTGCAAGGTAATTATTGTGTGTTGCTTTCCATTTGACTACCACAGTTCAATTCAGCCATCAGAAGACAGAAAAGGAATTAAGAATTTCTTTTTATTCCTTGTTACCAAATAAAAAATTTGTCTCTTCTCTTCAAAAAAAAAAAAAAAAAAAAACTATGAGATGTTTTATGTAAGCCTCATGGTAAGCTTCAACAAAAGTATAGCAGATACAAAAACAATACAGAGAAAGAAATCATAGTGCTACAGAAAATGATCAAATCACAGAGGGTAACAATAGAGAAAGAAAGGAACAAAGGATCTACAAAATAGCCAGAAAACAAATAACACAATGGAAATAGTGAGTCCTTACCTATGAATAATTATCTTGAATGTGAATAAATTCTCTTGAGGGACTACATGGATTTAAAAAAAAAAGCGGGGGGGGGGGGGGGGTGGATTCAATTATATGCTGCCTACAAGAGACTCACTTTAGCTTTAAGGACAGACAGGCCAAATGTGAAGGGATGGAAGAAGATAAAATATGCTATGAAAATAGTAAACAAAAGAGAGCATGAATGGCTATACTAACAACTAATAAAATAGACTACAAGTCAAATTCTGTCACAAGAGACAAAGAAGGTCATTATTTAATATATATATATATATGCCCAACATTGTAGCACCTAAATATGTTAAAGTAAATATTAATGGACATGAAGAAAGAAATAGAGAGCAATACAATAATAGTAGAGGACTTCAATCTTCAATTTTCAACAAAGGATATATCAACCAGACAGAAAATTGATAAGGAAATACTGAATTTAAATTGCACCTTAGACCAAATGAACCTAACAGACATATTTGAAATTTTACATCCAACATCAGCAGG